AAATACGGATCTGATGAGAGATCCGTCCTCTCTTCTTGTCAATTTGACATCCAGGAACTGGAACGAAGCTTCGGATTCGTGTTCTACTGTGAATTTGATATTTGGATGTGAACGGTTGAGTTTTCTAAGCATTGCTTGTGCTTGTGCGATGTCATTCAGTATGACAAATGTGTTATCCACGTAACGGCCGTAGAAGTGTGTGCACTTTATGCATTCCCAAGCACAGTCTCCGGAAATTATTGCTTCTATGTACTAAAGATGTACAGATCTGTTTTAACCAAGATTATTAACCTCAATTTGAAGGAGTTGCATGGGTAGTCCATTAGGACCAGTTCTAGCCGATATCTTGATGGGAAACCTGGAGAATATAAAACTTCGGCAATGCATAAAGAGCACACACTTCTACGGCCGTTACGTGGCACGAAAGTGCATATTTATTAGTTGTAAGATTGAAAACTTATATTGCTGCCGTTAAACTCTTTTTTTCCCTGCTTGTTGATCTCCTTTCCGTTTAGCGTGTTGTTTTGATCGGTTCCCTTGTCACTATATGCACTGTTTTACATTTTCGTCCAGTTTCGAGTTTTGGCGACTCATTCTCTGGTTGAAATTCGGCTTTATTATCTTCAGCAATGCGGAGCTGTGAGCTTGGGTTGAATGGAGTCATAAAAGCACGCAATCATTTTCTTTAACTTTCCCAAAACTGAGGGTACTGCCGTATGACGCTATGCGAATGAACCGCATGCATGCATAAAACTAGTAAATGTAAGTGAGTACAGAGCACAGTCGTACATAACACGAAATATGGTGATCAGTCAGCTTGTTTGTTTCCTAGTTTTGCTCATTTTGTCTTACTCATTTAAAATTCCCCCCGCTTCCGATTTCATTCCAATTGCACTTTGCAGCGACTTCCTTGTGACCGAACTGTACGAGTCGTTAGCACGGGATCCACAAAGTCGTTCGTGGTTTTTCCTTGCCTTGTACGAAATTCTCTTGCGCTGGTTGCCCTCATACGGTCAACTAAACAGTGATCGTCTGACGATTCCGTCTGTCACTCATGGTCAGGAAGAACGGACGCATAATCTAAAGGGGAGCCTTACTTTGGCGTATTCGTTACCGCCAGATTTGATCATGAACTGGTTCCGTTGGTGTTTAACTACGGATTATGATGTGGACCGGGCCGTTTGGTGTAATGGATCCAATAGTTCACCTGGGGTAATCGCGGATGGTCGTCTTTGGGCCGAGCAGGCCTTACTTGGCTTGCCTCCTCAGTGCATCGATTTGAACGAGGTAGCATATGATCCTTAGTAAATTCGTCTCTTGACCTGACATGTTTTTGCTTTCCCTTTTGTTCCGCTAAGTATGGCTCTATCGGTAAAATTCGTACTCCGTAACACTGAGATAGCTCCGCTTGCATTATGTCATCGTGGTTTACGAATAACTAACATATGCCTATGGAAGCGGATGTTTTCCTGATTAATCGTATTTTATGTGTCATTGGTTTTGAAGAAAAATGCGGATCATGATTTTACTTTTTCTTACTAGAAATCAGGTGTAGAGCAATAAATTCGATTTCGTGATGATTTTCGTCGTTAACAGAACTGAGTTATATGAACTGAAATTCTTGAATACTTCGTTCAACCACCTAGTTCCTGTTGAGTCCTGGTTACGGTTTACTTTGCTCTGCATTGATCGAGTTACTTCGCGTAATCCAATGACTTCATCCACCACTCTCCTGTAACAGGTATTCAAGTGTGAAATACTTTTGTCAAGTTAATAACCCTGTCGATTAATGCTGAGCTGGTTGAGGTTTGTTGGCTAACGGAAGGTTCCGGTTGCGGATTCCTCAAGAACATTCGCCTGTCTGGGCCTGAGCAACCTGGTAGTATTCGGTCCGCGTGCGTGGAACGTTCTTCCAAAGTAGAAGCTATTTGACACGCTTCGTTGCATGGGAGCATTTCGTGATGTGTAAGGGAGGGGTGACCAACCACAATCCGACACACTCACCTGCGACCATACTGAGGCTTTTGGAGGCAGAGTTTTAGGTAATCGTGGTCGGTCACTCGGTCAGATACGTCACATTAGGCTGCCTGAATAGCGACTTCGGGGTCATAGTTACCTTTGATTAGAGACACTATGGCATGGTTGAGAGTGGCAGGTATAGACATTGGTGCATCCACTCACTATCCTTGCAATCCTAGTCGATATGACTCCTCTGCACTCACCTCTTTTATCTACCTTCTGCTCTTCTATCTAGGTGGGCAGCTAAAAGACAGCAACTAAAACCACCGCACAAAGGTGCATGGTTAATAGTTGTAAAAACCGAAACTCGTGTGTTCGTCACACTAGATGAAACGGCATTAGATGAACGAGGCGTTCAATGTTGGTGGATCAGTGGTCAGCTCGTATATCCGCCAGCAATCAGGTGATTGGATATGATAATTTGCGTCATATTGAGGGGGCGACACTGGACAATCAACATTTATGTTGTTACGTATACTCAGGAGTGGGGACATATTAGAAAACACGAATTCTCATAAGTGCGATTGGTTTGATCTCCGTGACTGGTTAGGCTGTCATATCACCAGACTGACAAGTCACCCTGTCGTTTGTTTCTAAATGTTTTTATTTACATTTGAAACAAGCTGATACTTACAACGCAAGCACTTATTATTTTTGGGGTCAAACAGATTGTGAATTGGCGATTTTTATCCTGTCTTTTTCAGGCTGTCCGTCTTTGCTGGCAGCATCGTCTATTCAAAGCATATTTGCATCTCTACACAGATATTTTGTTCGATTTTGAAACTCCGTTCCGGAATCTGATTAACTTCTTGATGAGTCCGAATCAGCACAAATCACAAGGCTCCGGTAAGTTTCTTACCAGTTCAGTCTCGCCTTGTCATTTGGTGTTCACGTGGATCGCTATCCGAGTCACTCGCGATCTATTGCTGCTTTTGTTCCAGTTTTTCATGTTTCAGGCACGCAAGCGCCCTTTTTTTCTGGAAATTGACTTTGGAACCTGTTTGTGAAATTGTATATCGAATAGGTTGTGCTAGTCGACCTTGAAAAAATCGGTTCGTTGCGGTATATGTATTCTTCACATAAGTTCCACATCGCTAAATAAACTCGATACTCTTCACAGCTGATTTGTTGCCAAGTTGCCCCGTAAGTAGTTCACCACAAAATAGGTTGCATCTTTTGAAGCCTCGTCAATCACTGAATCTGTTTGTCTTCAACATGAGGACTCTGATGCAGATAAGTCAACAAGCTTGCGTTGCGCGTACTATGGACTATTTGGGGATTCATGTTTACTGTGTATCAGCGACATAAATCCATGACCCTAATACTTAATTGCACCGAATTTCTCTTCGATGTACTTCTTTCGCACGCCAGGTGACGACAAAGCCCGTTCATTAGGCCAATGTGGCCTAGGTATTGTACTCAATAATACACCCGAATCGTCCCTAATCGATTGAATCCCCATCAGCAGTCACTTATGTGCGACGTGGCTCCAAGGGTCGCTGTTCTCTGCCCTACCAGTAACCGAAATTCCTCAGTTCTGTGCAGATCACCATTTGTTCTTCTCCAGTACCAACTTCCGACGCAGCTCTCAACGGACAGCAACATGGCGCTCAAATTCAACTGGCACGCTAACTCAGATCGACCACATAGCAGTAAGCTACCGTTGGCATGGCTCAGTACAAAATAGTAGGTCCTATCGGGCGACATGCGTTGAATCTGATCACGCATTAGTTTTGATGCAATTCACTATCCAACTCACTGGTCGCAGAAAACCCCACCAAAGTGGATTGGCGGATCATCGTTTATTTGACCTAGCCGTTCGTGCCCGCTTTGAATCAGAACTAAGACAAGAGCTAAACGCACTGCGGGGTAGTGGTGTAGATGAACAATGGAATCAGATTATCCGAACAATGCACTCCGCAGCGAACGTTCCTTGTGGATCTGAAGCGGTAGCCCGCCTGAGGCATTGGATATCCGATGGCGTAGTAGCACTGGTGCAGAAAAGGCAACAAATTCCTACAGCCGGGGATCAAAGCAGGTGTAGGTGACGTCTCCTGATAAAGAGCCTCAAGAAGGGCTGTGAGAACTGGTGGGCAATGATAGCTAGTGGAATGGGAGTCGCAGCTGTATCAGGGAATAGTCAAAGACTGTTCCAACTGATACGCAATACGGGAGGTCGGCGAACCACAGTTAGTGAAACAATCTGCGACAAAAGTGGGTAAACTATTCACAACAGGGAACAACGGCCTGATTGGTGGGCAGAAGTTCGAACATGCATCCAAGCCCTAAAGAAAGGAAACGCAACAGGACCTGATGGACTTCCTTCAACNGCATGACCTAGCAGACTATGTTATTGGTTTAATGCGTAACATATGGTTACACTAGCGCATTCCGTCATCCTGCAGCAAATCACTGATTGTCCCAATTTTTGTGAAGGGATCTCGCAAAGACTGCGCAAACCACCGAGGAATAATTTTCATCCCAATCCTCACCAAATTATTAATCTCCATCATTCTTCTATGTCCTCTACCGTTTAATGTTTAATCCGCGAACAACAAGCAAGATTTCGACCAGGTCGCGGTTATATTGACCAAATCTTCATTATGCGTCAAGTCATCGAGCTACGCCGTACACACCGTCGACCAACGGTTTTCGAGTTTCTTGGCCTAAAAGGAGCCTTCGACTCAGTTGGCCGCGAATCCCTTATGGGTTCGCTCTTTGGAATGCCGCAGCAGTATGTGAACATATTGAGTTCACTCTACAGTGCGATCGCTCCATCGTCTCGTTCCTCTCACCCGTCACCTTAAATAAGTAAATTCCCTCTGATCCTTTCTGTGATCTGATTGAAGCATATTCCGCGATCTACGACTCCTAAAATCCCTCGCCCCAACACGAGACTGTCTGATTACCGACTTGTACATTTTGTCATGCTTTTGTTGTTACGTCCAGTCCATCCATGTGCTGATGGCACTCCTGCTGCACACCTGTGGCGATGAGACGTTTCACTGAAGGTGAAGAGTTGCGTTTACTGCGCCATTGTGCGATCAGTTTTGTATTACGGTTGAGACCTTGAATTCACAGATATAAGACACCCGTCGCCTAGTGGTTTTCGACAATCGATACTTACGTAGTCTGTCCCAGGTTGGGTGGAGTGAGCGAGAGAGTGGCAAGCTATAAGTAATTCGTCGGTTGTCTGGGAATGCATCGAAAAGGAGCTCGCTACCGCGTCGAATTCAGCCCAATAGGCTCCGTTGTCTAAGACACGTTTTGCATATGTCTGGCAGTCGCCTACAGCACCGCGCCTTTTTTGTGTTGGCCGCCGCAGATTGCAGAAATCCACTTGGAGGACAGCAGATGACGTGGAGACGAAGCATGAAGAAATGCTTTGAGTATTTGGGTAGAGTATATGTTTCCTTTTTCCGGTTTGGGGTTTAAAAGACTCAGTAACCAGATGGTTGCAGACACTTAAGGTCATGGTGGCGAACCGACAACAGTGGCAATTTTACTGTCACCTCTTATCAGACCAGAACACTTGAAATATTGTGTATTCAAAGTACGACTGTGTACTATGGGTGTTGACCATAAAGGTTCGCTTTCTTTCCCGTTCCTAAAATTAGGTCCGAACCCTATTTTCCTTACATTTTCATTTACCTTGTATTCATTAAGAATTTGGCAGCGACTTGGAAGTTCGCTTCAGTGTAATACGCCGTACAATGATGAATGACGATGATACGTTGTATTAAACAATGGTAAAAATTAACACTAAAATCTATCTGCCACTCTGAGATGCCAAATACATGTGATGCTGTATGTTCTGTGGACGATCTGTTAATTTCTATCGAACGGATAACCTTACTCTGTAGAAATTTGAGTCAACTAGCGCGTGTCGCTTCATCAGCAATCCCCAACTGCACACAGTTGCCTCAAGTGTACCGCATCATTCGGCAGCAGCGGTTGAGCTACTATAACAGCTCCATATATCTAGATGCGTGGTCCGTATCCGGTTGTACAATGCACAATTGTAACTGATTTGCTTTATTCCTTCGTTGCGATAATTGATGCACACACTTTTACGACGGTGTTTTCCCATCATAGTAAGGACTTTTTCTTGAAAAAAGATTACTCCGGTAACTTCCGTCTATTTTCCGCTCCGGTTTTCGCAGAAAATCCGGAAACCTACTGTCAGACCTTGTTGTTGCTGTTGCGCAACGCTCTGGCCGGTGAATCTTACTCCCAGCAGTCATTACCGAGCCCGATGGATGTGGATGTCCCCAGTCATG